CATTAATTAAAAGAGTATTTTGGTTCATCTGTAATTGTGTTTTAATCCACTTTATCACATGATTTGTTTGTAATTAAGCATAAAGCTACACAATAGGCTATCTGTGCTCTGCCCACCATGGGTATCAAAACCGGGATTCTAGCGTTGTAAGTCTGCAGACATACTGCTGTGCCACTGGGGGGCTTATCACATGAAAGATTGATGTGATGTTTGTAAAATCTGGTTCCATTTTTGGTCATGATAGTATTTTGCAGGGGTCTGGCTCATTTTCATAATACAATGTTCTGCTAAGAATTTATAACAAGTTTATAAAATAAACCTACCTCAAGTACCACACAGACTTTACCACCAGCCAACCCCATCAATGAATGGAGAAGATGTGAATAACAAGCAGGGGTAACTTCCATCCTTCCCTGGTAGAAAACACATCAATTTCATAAATTTTTAAACTAGTTTACTTCATATAATCACCTACTTAACAATAGTATTAGTTTTCATAGTATAATTTTGGTTAAATTTCTCACAAGTGAGAAAAAAATACTAATGATCAGCTTTGTGATTAGTTTACAATTTACACTTAAACATATGTTTGTAAATTAGTTCTGTCTATTGTTAACTTCTAGAATAGAGCCCCAAGTAAAACCAGTTTAGTGAAATTCCTGCTGGAATTGATCTTCTTTTATATTGCATTTATGGCAAAGCTACTAAGGCCTAAATGTTGAACTACTGGTCAGAGGGGGGTATCCACTCAGCAGCAACCAACTATCCATGTTAAGGTATTGACTGTCACTCTTATAGTACAGGTTAACGTGGGTAGAATATTTTGTGGTATCATACAGAGTTAAACTCAGCCCAGCAGCTCTGAAATTCAGAGCTCTACCACAGGGCCAACCCATGGCTAAATTAGATAAAAACATTTTGATGTGTGAAAATTACAATACATTAGATACTAATACTCCTGATAATTTATATTTAAAAATTATATCCTGAACATAATACTTTATTAGCCAAATACTTTTGATTGTAGAACTTATACAAAAAAGCATATTTACAAGTTCTTCTTATTCTAAACTAGCTGTCTCATAGGTTTAGATAATTCAACACAGTTCCCCATTATTTAGCTATATAATTAAAGTACACATATTCCCTTTTAATACTTTTTAATAATGATCTACACTGGTTAGTAGTATAAAAAAATTATATCAAATTGGCTAAATTATGGCTTCTAAAATAATACAACTAGTTCTATAAAAATTTATATTCAAATGCTTAAGTCACAGTTATAACTCTATGGCCTTAACCTAATATGAAAATTTAGTGGTCAACTAATTATGTCATTTTACTGACTTCTTGGATGGGAGTGGCTTTTAGTATAAGTCCCAACCAAAAGAATAATTTTATTTAAGTTAGAGTCAGTTATTATTTTGTAAAAAACACTCATAACAGCTTCAGAAAAACTATAAAAATATCACTTGCAATTTTAAAACAAAATGACACATATGAATATAAAAATGAAAAACGTGTTAAAATAATTAGAACTTTGCAATCTTTATCCTTTGTTTTGGGAACATGACCACAGAAGTCTAGAGAATTCGGGCTTTCACAATTAAACATTTACAAAGTGCTTTAGAAAACATAACATCTTAACTCCCATTTTTGAGGGTAATGACTTACCTCCCTTTTTTGGGGGGAGGGAGGGTTAAAGATTTGAAGGAGTTAATAATCATAACATATTGAAAATACTGTAAATTTAAGTGAGCTTCAACAAATGGATTTATTTTTAACAATATAAAAGGTATAACAGCACAAAGATTTTGTAATAAAGTGATTTTGTGGTTTAGCTTCTAACAAGTTATGCAGCAAGTTTTTGAAAATGAAAATTATTACAACTATATACTCCAATCCTTCATTTTCAAAATATTGTTATGTATCTGCTTGTTTGTTAATTTCCAGTAGAAATTCTTTCATAGGAAGTTCAGCGATACAAGTCCTTTCTTAGTTAAACCAGTTTATTCTTCCTCGATACAAACTTTTAGTACATAGTAGTTCCACAGTCAATACTACGTTTCTCGTCACTTTAAACTTAACAACTTTTATAATACATGCTATAAATCAAAGAGATTCGCAATCTCAATAACTTTTCTCTCTACGAGTACAAACACACACTTTATATTACCGTCACTACTGATCGCTTCTTTAATTATCTATCTATCTATATCGCTGGCTTTCTTTGCCAGTCTTATATACTACAAAAACACTCGATAATTCGAGAAACTCCAGTATGCATGCTCCCAGTGTCATGCGACTTCCACTGTCGTAACAATATCAAAAAGTATAGTACACAATATGTGCATGAGGAAACTTGTGTCTTTGCAGTTAGTATAATGTTTTTACAGTACTAAAAGTAAAGTGCATATAATAGGTGTATTCAATTTTATTGTATTTATTCTGATGTAGTAACTTCTAAAAAATATAATTCTGATGGTGTTAGTTTTTATTAAACATACAGGTAGATTTCATCACAGTGCTGTTAAACACCTTATGGCTTACTTTTGAAACTATTCTTACAATATCACAACAATCTGGAAAAGCACAAAAAAGTAATTAATAGAAACTTTTGAATTGAGTGTATATTTCAAATGATGTTTGTTAATAGTTTAGATAACCAATTATAATAAACAACTTTAAATTCATCACCTACCCAAAATCAATTTGGCTTTAAAAACACTTATAAATGATGTTTAGTTCCATTGTTCAGTATATAAACAAATTTGTGATTTATAGGAAATGTAATGTTATTTGCAAAAGGTGGTTTTTGGTTTCACTAACCCAATTTATTAGTGCATTGCTTTATAACCATGACTTAATATTACTAACCTATGGAAACAAGTGTGACTTTGAAAACAGGTGATCACATTATTCAGTATAAACATGGACTTAAAAAAGTTATGATCATGATATTCAATAAAAACAGTGTTTTAAAAATTTAGTGAATATATTAATATATAAAAAACAAGATTTAAAAAGTGTTGTAATCATATTACAATTTAAAGGGATGGGTTACTCACACTATTTATAAAAAAAGAAGTGTTTTGAAAAGTTATGATAATATTATACTATAAAAAGGTTTATTCTAATACAAATACATGAACTGATATTACTATTTCATAAAATTAAAAGCATAATTAATGGGTATTTTTATTCCATTGAAGCATAGAAACAGGGCAGATATTTAAATGAATTTCAATGCCCTTTGTAAAGTAAAAATACAATAAATAACAATAACCATGTATCAATAAACATTTATTCTTCTCTATTACCTTAGTATCTCCAAAGGCTGCATCAAAGCCAGCAGATATCAGCACCAAATTGGGTGAAAACTATGCACACACACACACACACCAAAAACAAAAGAAAATGTGTATAAACACAGTAGTTCCTTAATCAATAAATCTTATGTGTATCATTAATCTATAGTGTTGCCATTAATTACATAAAACAAATCAAAAAGCACATGATAACTGGCTAGATTTAAGTCCACGAACCAAAAAAAGCATATTGTGAAAAATTTGATAACTTTTCTTCTAAATTTCATACCTTATTTGTTTCAAACCAATATTCTTTAGAGTAAATACATATTGTGAATTTTGAACTGAAAAACATTTATATATAATTTCTTCTATATATTACCTAGATATATTAATGCTAAACCTTTTATTTGAATAATTTCTTATTATACTACAGTAAACCACTGATTTTCCGCCACCTCCTTTAATCTGGACAAAATTACAAGAGCGCACTTGAATTTCCTACATCCGCCAGACTACTTACATTTTAAATAGGTACGTCACTCTCGTGAAAATTTTCTTATAAATATTAAATTAGTGGATCAAATTGCTTGATTTTTTTTTTATGAATGTTGCCAATAATATGTAGTTTAACAAGATAGGAATATTTAGTTTCGATTTTTTCTTCAATTTTTACAACACAGAATGTTGATAATAATGTATGAGAATTAAAAATATAACGTACTTGAAAATAACAATAATAATAACAGTAAAATTCTAAAATTTGCCACTTTGGAAGCAGTACTACTGCAACATTCTTTGTAAGTACAGTAATTAATAAACCTTTGTCATTTATACTGTTCTAATAAACTTTTTTTCATTTATACTGTACTGATAAACCTGTACCATTTATACCTGTATTAATGTATTTCATTAATCATTTAATTCACATTTAATATTAGTTTTATTTAAGTTTCTAGCAGTCCATGGGGCTTCAGAAACACAGGAGGGGTATAATTAGTGGGTCAGAGGTGTATTGTTGAATTATTATTATGTGACCTCTGTTGGTCTGGCAAAACGGATAATTTGGCAAGGCTCTGGAACCAACGGTGCTGGAAAATGGGTGGTGTACCTGTATTTGATTACAAACTTCTTATCTTATCTTATTTATGTGTATTACCAAACTTTTATGCATATCTATCCAACTAAGAATCTGTATTATCATTATAGCAGAAAAATGAAATAAGAACACTACAAAATCTGCATATTCTTAAAATTCTGCATATGATCTGAGATTGTTCAATAAGAAAAGCTGTAGTGCTGAACAACTGTGTTCATATTTCTTATTATCCTCTCCAGAATTATCAGTGATAATTATTTCTTTGAAATATCTTATAAGGATTTTCAGACTGTCTTCTGACGATAGTTTAAACAATCAAAGTCATTGGTTCAAGTGTCCACATTTGCTGTCAATTTATACTTGTTTTAATAAAAATCCAAATATTATAAAAACAGATAGGTCACACAATTTATTCAAATTTTATCAAACTAAAATAAAAGTATAAAATTTTGCCTTTGGTAATATGAAACAATGCATTATAGAGATAATTCTTACACAATAAATGTGTAAAATCAAATCGATAGAAAGCTTGCTTGAAAACAACCAACATTTGCAGCACAACCTAATTATTTATTTTCTTTTAATGATGTAATATTTTTCAAAAATATTAAGTAGTATAACTGCATGCTATATATGATAAAGCAAATGATGCATTCCAATGCTGATCTAGAAATTGTTAGCTGGCTAAATACACATAATAATTAGTTATTACTAATCAATAAACTTTACGTATTTCTTTAATTTCTAACCTTCATACCTATATACAGTACAGTTTTTTCAGATAAGAATTACCTTAATTTTTTTTTATGTACGATTTAAGAAGAAATTATATTTACCTCATAGGCAACTGGAAGAAGGATGTTATGGAAGATAGCCAAATAATCTCCATTTCCCATTCCTGTCTGAAAAATTTAAAATAAATTATAGTTAATATGAAGTTCATGAATTAAAAACACATTACTGTCTGAAAGTTTTAAAGAAATTGTAACCATGACCGTGAGTAAACTTACTAAATTATAAATTTAAGAATATTAGTAGGTACTTTTGGAAACATTAACAAAAAGAGAATACTGATAATAATATATGGAAGAAACTTAAAACATAACTGGAAAAGTGTCAGCTCATATTCAGCAAGCTGACAAAAATAAACACATTAAGAAGTTATGGGTATGAAGAAGTAAAACAGCATAACCAACATACTTTTAAAGAGACCCTTCAAAGTCATTACTACTTGAGTATCAGACTGAATGAAAAATGTATAAAATTGTTTAATTGCCAGTGAGAAAAATGTTTTATTTTCCATAGCGGGTTCTTTTGAACTACTTGGTAAAAATAAGGCCAAGTCCAGTTCATATAGCTAGTACAATTTGGTTTATTTCTTCCTTAATACTTGTACACAGTTGTAGGCCTATAATCAGAAATAACATTTCAATGGAAACTACTTGCTAATAGTACTATGACTAACACACAAATAAACTTACTTGTACAATTTCATAGACAATCAATCAAGTAACTGAATATATAGGACAGCTAACACAGATCTAAATACTTCACTAACTTCTTAATCATTGAAAGAACCAACAAAAAACTCAATGCTTCACTGATTCTCGTATTTATAGCTTATGCACCCATTAAGATTTTAGTTGAATTTACTAGATCTTAATTTTATGTAACCTCTATCTAACATCTAAATTAAAGTATAAAAATACAACTTACAACAATAAAATTTTTAAAAACTGAATCAAAAAGGTTCCATTTTTTCAATACTTTTAATTTACAAAATAAATATTTTTGTTTATTTAATATCAACTTTTGGTACCATATTACCTTTGAGTTTATACCATTACCTTCAAGTGGATCTCACATACTGCATCATATTCAGTAATTTTATATTCTTTGGTTGCTAAAACACTCAGCATAAAGAAATGACCAAATAAATGGTGCAATAACCTATTTTCTAAGTAAAATACATATGGGACTCCAGCAGTACTTAGCAGAATTGATGATATTTTTTGTGACTCGTATATTATTAGTGACACTGTATGGCCAACAAAATCATGGACCCAAAAGCAATTAGTTAATGTGTTGAAAGAGCCAATAATATCCTAATAGTAATTAGGGTTAATAGTGTAAATGTTTCCAAAATATGATTGTATTTTGGGGAGATATTTTGAATATTCTTCATGAACAAATACAAAAGTAAGCTGAAAAGCAATTTAAATGTAGATTCAGTTTCATTTTGGTAAAAAAGTAATGGTGCTGTTTCACCAATTAATTTATATATGATTGTAAAACTTAAAAGAAAACTAGTTAACTTCTTTTGTTTTCAGCACCATTACCAAAATGTCAACATGAATGTTGGTCTTCACCTATATCATTCAGGATATGAACATAGGATATGGAGATTTTTTCCACTAAAGTATACTATATACTCACAGGACTTGACTCTTCATACCAAAATGTTTATAATTAACTTATTTATTTTACAAACATACACAACAATTCAGGTATGAAGACTGTCCAATACACTTTGCATTTTTAAAGAAAATAATGTACAAAACTAGATATGCTTATATCAAGTACCATATTTTAATGCAAGGTATTTTTTAATATACTGTCATTCATAGTATTACATGTGCAAATATATATGCTTATTAAAAACACATACTGAATATAACTATTTCCCCCTTCATTTACATGCTACCAACAGATTATCTAATATACCACAAAAGGCATCAGTCAAAAGATAATTTAAACAAATTAACTTTCAATCTTTGAAATGTTTTTAAATCATTAAATTTTCACTTAAAATATAATGTAGTTGGTATACTTCATTTTACATTTAAAAAATTAACCATCACATAAATTTTCAAATTTGTTTCAAAAGAAAATAGCAAAGGCAAAAAAACCTTGTTCAAGGGGACATTAATGTTAAATCCTTTCCCGGAACCCTCTCCAACATAGTCAAAATTGGATTCCTTGAGTTCTGGCCAAAATGCACCATGCTCATAGCGATGGATTGAAAAATAAAGAACCCTAAAACATAGAACAATAATTAAACACTGAGATCCTTTTATCTCAAGAATTAAAAGTCACAAACAATGTTAATAAATATCATAAATTACAAACATGCCATATAATTTACTGTTAATAAATATCACAAATTACAGATATGCCATATAATTTACTGTTCATAAATATCACAAATTACAGATGTGCCATATAATTTACTGTTAATAAATATCACAAATTGCAGATGTGCCATATAATTTACTGTTAATAAATACCATAAATTACAAATATGCCATATAATTTAGTTTGAAACTATTACTCTACACTTTTGTTCAGTAGCTCAGTATTTATTAAAATATAGTTTTATTATTAATTAACACCAAATAAAATCAATCACTCAAAACTGTGGTTGATTTTGAAGTGGTGATAACCCCCCAAAGATGTTCAGGGATGTAAGTATCTCTTCATCCACTCATGAGAGGATGCTCTTAACACAAAGATTTGAAATTGAGGGATCAGAAGATTTTAGAGTCATAGTATTTTCTAGGTGATGTGTGATATGGCAGGAAACAAGAAAAAGTAAAGGAAAGAGAGAGAGAGGATGGTGATGGTATGGGTTATATGCAAATTGGAAGCCCTTATTCAAGACTCTGGAGATTAAGTAGCTTTGATCTGGGTTGATTTATTCTATTGGTGTTTGAGCTTTGTTGGATGTATTCTTAGCTGGAGTAGATTTTTTGTTTATCACATGTTGTCATAGGTACTGACTATGAAATAGATGATATCCCTATCTACACAGTCACAGTAATTGACACCATTAATTGCATTAATAATATAAATTGCTTACTAATTAATATATTAACACTTTTAATAAACAAAGGCTTTCTTTTTACCAATTTTTTGGGATTAGGAATATTTGTCCAAAGTCACATAATTCAGTTGTTTATTAAAATACACAAGTTATTTGTCCATAATTACTACATGTTCATCTCTTTTATTATGATGAGAAAATAAAGAGTATAAAACAGACAGTATTCAAAATCAACATCAACTTTAGCACTTTGGCTCATTACTATTATCTAAACAAAATATTTTAATCCTTATTCATATAGTCTTAAAATAAATATATCTGTACAAATTTTAGCTAATATATCAAAAAGAAAATTAACAGCAATTTATTAAATAAACAGATTCTTCATCTAATAAACAATTAATTAATGAATATCTAACAAATTGTGAAATTTAAAACAAATCAACTTATCTGTTCCTTTCTTTTTTCAATCATGCATGCTCAGTTTAGCTTTTTAGCTATAATAAACATAGATTTCTGATGCTTGAACGAGTGTGTTAAACCCCCGAGTGACTGGATTTTTGTCTTAATTTTATTTTATGTGTTATTCAATTCTTACTTTATTTTGGAATGTCATTAATTTTGGTTTGATTCCATGTTACATTCATGTTGCAGCATTGTAAATATGTTTGAATAAACTATATTGAAATTATTTTAAACCTAGTATGCCATGTGCCATGAAAATATTTTTAAAATCATTATACTACCAATGCAATCTTCATAAAATAATATATGGAAAATATAAGTGAAACAAAAACAAACAGTAATAATAGCATGTGTGCATGTAGCTTACATCCTTGCTACAATGTGTTGTTTTAAATGTGAATGAATAATATACTATGACCTATGATATACCAAATTCAAGTTGACTATTGTGTATTTTGGTGAGCAAACAACAGCAAATTCTTAACTGTAAGTTGTTATAAAGCCTCCAGATGATGAATGAGTTAGTATATTAATTTGCCTATACCTATCCACATAATCTTGTGTTTGCATAAAAATTGGTAATATTTGTTGTTCTTTTCAAAACAAGACAATATAAAAAGAAAAAAAACAGCATATTTCTGAAAATTTTTTGTTCTGAAACATTTTATTTACTTCCTAACATTTTAAAGTGAAACTAAATGAAAAATTCTCAAGCACATTAAGATCAATCTTATTAACAGGAATGGAAAAATCAGTGAGAAAAAAATCAATATCAGGCTAGTATACAATTACTATCTCACTGAAATACATAAAAAAATGGAAATATTCAGGTCAATGGGGCGAACAGAAACAAACTGAGGGATACTTAAAGTTTGTCTGAGAGGTTGGTTATAAAGTCATTTAAGCACATTTAACCACTGTACCTATATAATAACTTCATGTAGATTATGATTCTATATGAATATATTAATTTTCTTCAATATTATTTCTGGAGAAAAAAATCCATTAAATTTTAAATGATGGAATTTTCTCATCATTTCTCATTATGCCAAATCCACTATCTTAAAGTAAAAAAAAAACCTTAATAAAATACTTTATGTACAAACAGAGCCGAGACTAAGGTGGGGTGATAGGGGTGCATGCCTTAGGCACAAACTAGAGAGGGGTGCAAAATGGCTCATGAAGGTGAAGGTCCATATGTGTACTGTACATTCTTTTTGTAAGACTTTATATGATTTTGTGATTCGATTTTGGCAAAATACTTTTTATTGTAGATCATATTGACAATAACTTCAAAATGACCATCTGGTTCAGAATTCCAAAAGAAATGGAAGAGAGGAGGAAAATATAAAAATATCCCAGCATTGGCAAAAATGGTTAGTTACTAGTACTGAAGTTAACAAAGAAAAGGTGCAGGCAAACTTAGTGAAGTATGATCCACGAACTCACTTAAAAGAGGATCCTACAACTATCACTGCATATGAAACTGACACTTATTTACAAACTGAAAGCTGTTTCCAATCCCAAATATTAAAAAAATCTACTTCAACTAAAGTTGCTGAAGAAAATATTAGATCATGTTGAACTTTAATGACCCCTCATCTTGGCCAGATATCAAAGACAAATAAGGTGTTTTTAAGTATAACACAGACCTAATCAGGAAAAAAGATGCTGATTTTTGGAACATGCTATCAGAAGATAACAGATGACAATTCTCACTGGAATGGTTTCAAAAGAAACTTCCTAATGGTGAACTTATCGACCAAAAATGGTTGATATATTCTAGAACAAGAAAATCAACATTTTGCTTTCTATATATTGTATTTGGCAAAAAGACAGCATCATTAGCAAATATTGCAAATCCAAAGATAGTTTTTTTCCATTTGGAAACATGCACCCACATATTCCAGACCATGAGAATTCTTCTGACCACTGTGAAAAGTATTTACAGTGGAAAAATCTTGAAAAACAAACGAAATCTGGTGAATTGATTGAAGTTCTGCAAAAAGTAATCCAAATGGAAAAATAAAGATGGTACCAAATATTGAAAATTATTTTAGATACTATTCTCTTTAATGAAAAAACAACAACAAAACAATCTTGCTATTAGAGGTTCATGTGATGTTACCGGGGATCTAAATGCTGAAATATTTCTAAACCTCTTGGAAATGATAAATCACTAAAATACTGAATTGAGACAACATATTGTAAATCATCAGAATGATTCTGTAAGCTAATTTTCCAACAAAATTCAGAATTAATTTATTAGCTTGTTACGAAATAATGTTTGTGCTAAAATCACATGCAAAATAATTCTCAGTTATATTCAATTTTACCCATGATATATCTCATAATGAACAATTGTGTCAAGCAATTCAATATGTATGGCTTAATAATGGAAAGGTTTCAATAGAACAAAGTTTTGTTGACTTCATTAGCTTAGCAACAGAAATTCTCAAAAGATTGTTAACGGATGTGATTGATATTAAGAATATTAAAAATGATAATGAAGAAAACATGGCTGGCAAATATAGTTGAATCTAAGCAAACATTTTGCAAGTATGAGAATGCACAATTCGTGCCATGTTCAGTCTCAATCCAGCTGGTATGCATTTAGCTCCTGTAACTCCTACAATGATAACCTTTTTTTTTGGAACAGTTCAAAACTTTTCCACATTTTCTGCAAGTTCTTCTAACCACTGGGGATCATTGATGAATATTTTGAAAATCACTCAGAAACAAGGTGGGCATCCAAAGCAAAAGCTGTTAGAGAATTACATATTCATATAACAGCTGTAAACAAAGTTTTAAGTGATGTAATAGTAAATACTTTTTCAAATCCATTGCAACAGCACAAAGTCTTCTTATACAAATATATTATAAATTTTTATGCACATTATCATTTTGTAATAAGATTCTGATCATGATCACTTAAAACAATTTCTGCAAGTCAAAGCCAAACATATATATGCCAAGACTCCCAAACTATTCACAGTCTAATAAATGCATTACAAAAAAATGCATGAAAGTGGCCTATAATTAATTTTTCTTTGCACTAAGAAGCAGCTGAAAAATTGGGAATACCTCTTACATTTTCACAAATGAAGGCTCAAGCTTATTTATTGAACATACATTCTGTACTGAATTAAATGCCATTTTGATGTCTTCATAACCGACTTGAATTGGAGGTATGAACAATTAAATGAAATATCCTCTAAATTTGTTTTTCTCTCTGGTATTGCACTTGTAAAAATGGAATTATCTGAACTGACAAAGCCCACACTTGACATAACATTGAAGTACAATAAGGATTTAGGTGCCATAGAAACTACTGCAAAAATTGAAAGTTTCAACCATTATACTTTGACAATACTTCCAAATGTGGAAGTCATTCACTTTCTGAGTCACCTTAATATGGAAATTGCTTTTTGCATTTTCGCTACCTTGCTAGTCATAACAGCATCAGCCAAAAGGGGCTTCAGTAAGTTATAACTAATTAAAAACTATTTAAGGTATCAATGAACCTCTATCAAATTTGACCATTCTTTCAATTGTGAATGAAATTGCTGGAAATATTAATTAGGACAACATAATAGATGAATTTACATTGGTCAAGGCACAGAACATGAAATTGTAATTTCTTTTCTTTTTCTTAACAAAAAATGTCTTGATTCAAAAATGTTTTCTTAATTTCAGTTTGGAAATTGTACTTGTACAATAAGATGGTCCTTACTTGCAGGTAAAATTTCAGCTTAAAAAGAAGCTCTCACCCCTAATTTTGTTCCAATGTACAAAAAAAAAAAAACATTAAATGTCAAACTTCATCCATTTTGAACATAGACTTGAACAATAAAGAAGCAGATGATACAGAGTCCTTTTTCCTTGTGGCCAGTGAGCTTAAACTGACCCATAAACATTCAGATCCTGAGGACATATAATGCCTTGGCCATCCATCATGCATGATGCAATGCTCCAGGTGCTACAATTTGCTCTCCACAAGGAGAAATGCTATCAAGAAAGGTTACTGTTAGTTCATGAAACTCTTGATAATTGTCTCTAGGTTGGATGACCTGAAGTTGTCTTGTAGCAAATTCAATGAAACTGTTCTCAATTTCCTCTATGGTTTCTACTACTTCATTACAGTCAGCTGCAGTTTGATAACTGGACTGATCCATGTATTCCTAAGGTTGCTGGAAGCTTTAAAAATTGCAATATTTTGATTAGAGGAAAGCTCCACAGTCTTTTAAAACACATGCTATGAGAAATACTAAGGTACGATACAGAATATTACAGAAATAAAAAGTGACAGCATGAATTATTTATGTGGAATGTTCTTGAGCATTCTGTATAATGTGGAATACTCTGGAATATTCCAGAATTTGCTAAAATATTCCATAATAATATACTAGAACATTCTAAAATGATCTATAACCTTCCAGAATTATTTAGAATATTTTGGCCCATTCTCAAATATTCAAAATACGCAGATATAATGCAAGCTACAAGGTGAAATGTCAACTACCTCTAAATGTTATTCAATATGATTAAATTTGGTTTGAATTACTTACTTATATATATACAAAGTCTAGGGGTAAGAGTATTGTAAATTAAAACTTCAAAAATAAGGACCATCCTATTGTACTATAAAGAATGTATTAATTTCCTTTTTTAACTATTTGAAGGTACCAATTTTAAATGTTACCTCTAGTGCAAAAAATACTAGTCCCAGCTCTATATCCAAATACCTATGGAATACAAGTTGAGAAGGAGCTGAAATATGGGGAACAAGGAACCTATGTGAGAAAATAGTAAAGTTCTGTGAATTTGGACTATTTAAGAAGTATTTTTAAATACATGGATTTCTTTTTCTTGTCACATGTTCTATAATGCAAGAAATAAATTTCTGTGGAGATACTTATGGAGTCACAAAAGTTATAATTATCGTAGTTATAATGCAAAAATCTTTATTGTGTACAAAACAATCTCTCCGGACAAAATTTAAACATCTATCGCTTTGTTTCTGTTTATCCCATTATGCTGAAATTGTGTTGGGAAATTAAATTTTTTCTAAGTATTTCAAAGAGATATTACTTGAATACAAACTCTGACAAAGACTTTTGGTCACTGATTTTGCCAGTCCTCCCTTCACCATCAAAATGTAAAAATGGTGTTATGAGATCAATTACAAAAAAAAATTATAGACTTCGGAATATTGAGTTACAGTTTACATTCATAAAAAGATAAGAGAAGAACAAAGGCACGTTCAGTAATAGGACTGTGAACAATAATGTATTTTATGATCAGATTCTTGAAAGTAATTTTAAAGTTTCTTGGATAAGTAAGGGTAGAATTTTTGAGAAAATTAGAGCAAAATTTAAGAACAGATGTGTCAAAAGCCAATTATAGCTTCATTAAAAATTATGGGAATCACTAGAATATCAACGGTAAAGTATTCCAACGATTTTTAAGCTGAATAGAGGAAGCTTTACTTTTTTAAACAGCTACTAATAACAAGTTATAGAAATAGTTTTTAGCTATCAGCAAACTATTAGGACCTTTTGTATTTTTAATTTTTGCATGTTGTGATGTTGAAAAATGTGTATAGATGAAGTAACATGACTTAAATATATATATATATATACACAAAATGCATGAAAACTTTACAGTTCTGTTTACATATTATACAGCCATTTTTGCTCTTACCATGGTCATTTTGTTTTTAAGGTGTGACAACTTCATATTAATAGCTGCACAAACCATAATCAGTTTATTTTGTAAGAAGCAGAACATGATCACTTATTGATAATGATGCTCACTCAATATTGCATTAATTTTGCTCAAACATGAAGCTAAAATCTTGGGCTTGAATAGTAATTGTCTCCTAAACTTTGATGTACTAAAGTTTAAAATTATATTAGATTTATTCAACACTTAGAAAAAATTTTTAATTTTTAACTATAAATCCAAGTATTAACAAAATATGTCATACATGTGAAATTTGATAAAAACTCACCTAGGATCATCATAAAATGCATATTGAGTTGCCTGTCCATGGTGAACATCCCAATCAACAATTAGAATTCTAGACAACAAATAACAAAGACTATTGATTGATGTCCACTTAAAACAAAATCAGTAAATCTCAGTCCTATAAAAACATTTCTCTAAATGTGTTGTCCAAAACATATTTGTTGAAATAAGTATTGTGGAATACAAAATCAATTTATTGAAGATGAAAAGGCTTTTTTTTTACCATACTGTGGCCACATAAAAATTCCTTCAGTTTTAAATGCATTCTGACAAATGGCTGAGCACTGATGGTACAACATACGTGTACAAAAACACAAAAATTAAAAGTAATGTAAAATTAATCCATATGGCATAGAATGACAGAAATATACATACTCTTGAAACCATAATGACATATTGAATCAAGGCAGTGACCAACAACTGGGAAAAAGCATTCCAGTTTTACATGAAGAAATTATAAATAGAGCTCTCATAACAGTTCAATATTAAATTTACAAAGCACACACATCACAAGCTAGACAATCAACAAAAAAACTTAGAAAATACTGTCTGAAGAAAATGAAAAATCTCTCAATATGTCACTTGGACAAACAACAAATTCTTATTTGACTGCCTGCAAACAGATAAGATATTGAAAATTTGTTAATCTTCTTTGATGCAATATCTTTTCTTTGGTACCAATCCAGTCATCCTCTCACAACCATTACCAAGAGATGCAAATTATCCAGTTTTAACACAAATATTACTTTAACTAGAACCGTATGATACTAGCATAACAAATAAATTTTGGGGATAGTTTATAAAAGAGAAAACGATTCTAGATAAAATTCTCAAATTCAGTTTATTCTTGCTCCAAGAAACATCTAACATGATGTAAATAGTCTGCATTTAACTATTTTCACATTTCATCAATATAATAATTAATTAAAGACTAGACAGCAAGATAATGATATATTGTTGTAGTGGTGATTTCTATATAGAATGACATATAACGAGATCAGATATATTGTTGTGGTGATTTCCATACAGAATGACATATAATGAGATCATATATATATTGTTGTAGTGGTGATTTCTATACAGAATGACATATAACGAGATCAGATCTATTGTTGTAGTGATGATTTCTATAGAGAATGACATATAATGAGATCAGATCTATTGTTGTAGTGGTGATTTCTATACAGAATGATATATAACAAGATCATTCACAAACAGACTCTTGAACTGTTCAAAACATATTTTCAGAATCCTTTCTTTCTACAACTTAATTTTACAACTTACAAAAAACAAACATTTTCAAAAAGGTGTAATATGTTGTCACGATAACGGAAATCGAGTGACACTGGGAGCATGCACGCTGGAGTTTTTCGAAGGATCATGAATTTTCCTGGCAACTCTAGTTTGTTCCAGGCACCCTCTTTTTTAGTATATAAGCCCGGCAAATAAAGCCAGCGAAAAAAGATAGAATTGCATAGATAGATAGATATAGAGATAGATAATTGAGTCAAGCAAACAGTAGGCACCGTAAGTAAAGTGTGTGAATCACTGTGAATTATAGCATGTGTTTATAAAAGTGGTTAAGTTAAAGTGACTGTGGAAATTCTGTGTATTACAAAGTTGTATCGAGAAAGAATAAACTAGTTGTATTTAAGAAAGGACTTGCATCGCTAAAGTTCCTCGGAAATAATTTAAACCAGAAATTAACAAACAAGCAGATACGTAACAATGTAATAAATGTTTAAACTAATTATAACATCTGCAAATATAACCAAAAATAAATATCAAAGTTTCCAGAAGTTAATAAAAAAAGCAAACTATAAACAATATATTTCATTGAAAAAGATGTTCGAGTGTAAATAAAATACAACTTTTATTAACTACAAGTAATACATGTGGATGTAGATTTCAAACTGCATTCTAAGTAAATACCTGTTCAAACCATAATGCTTTATTGCATGTTTAGCAGCAATAGCCACGTTGTTAAAATAACAGTAGCCACAAGCCTTGTCTTCCATTGCATGATGTCCTGGAGGTCTAAAAGATGAAAACCAAATATAATAATTTTTATATTGTGATATTCAACTTTACAGATTTCAAGAATCATATACATGGTTATTATTTTTATTTTGCACAAACACTTGTTTTTTTAATACTAATAACTTCCTCCTCTTTTCCTGAATCTTTTACTATAAAATTTTTATATTCTGAAGATTTGTTTTTCTGTACTGCAAATTATACAAGGACTACTCAACTACTTCCATTAACATATATTTCACTAAAGTTTTAGCACAATGCACAATAAGTTGGAATATGATATAATTACAGAAAATTTTAACACAGTATACATGGGTATACTTCAAAATCTTTATCAAGTCTTTAAGAAACTGCAGAAAACTAAAGCTGAATAAACTTTATGGAAAAAGTGAAATGATATAATTTATATCTAAGTCTTTTAAAAAGTGTGAAAAAATACAAAAAGGAAGGAAAGGATGACCTTTATCTAAAACATTTTAAATAATATACAAAGAGTTTAAATAAACATCTAAAAACCTCTAAAACAGTTCAGTGTGGAATAATTATTTATTAAAACATAATAACAAATCTGAATTATTTTTTGTCTCTATAGCTCAGAAAAACAGAAAAATTATCATCTCATGTTTTAGACCCTATCAATAGATAACACACTGAGATGTATTTTCTCTTAAAACCTTTCATATGCTACAACAGTGCAGTCAAGTTAATTTTTATCTAGAATATCTATAAACTGCATACAATGGAGTATTGAGTGTATTTTTTTCCTGTTAAAAACTTTAAAATTATTGCATAGTGAGAAATATCCTGTCATTTCAAATTTTTGATAAACTGAATGACCAGAGGTGGAGAGGGTACCCTTTGTCCTGAAATGTATCCTTTCATAGAAAACTCTCAAGATATAGGGGGAAGGAGTTATTTTGTTGTAAAACATAAATATATTTCTCAGGAGTGTGTTACAAATATAACGTTTTAATGCTAAACTGAGAGAAACAGCAAAAATACTTCTTAGGAATCCTAATTATATTTTCAAACTCCGTATCCATTTTATTTTCATTAAAGTTATAAAATGAGAAAACAGATATCTATGCACAACTATTGATAATAAAACGAAGCAAATATTGATTACCTAATTATAGCCATTCCATTTTGGACCTACAAAAAGTTGAAAACGTTTTTGTTTATATATGTACTCTATTTATACAGTTCAAACTCATAAAACAAGTTATCTTAACTGTCCCTAGTTTGAGCTTTCATTTTTTTATAAAATGAAACATTTACTTTATCGTGTCTCAGTTATGCATGCAAGCTTTCCTCTTAGTCATAAACTTTTGAAATGTATACAAAAACATATATATACTATGAAAAGTCATATTTAGTTTGTTGAATATTTCTCTCTTATCAGAACTACTTCAAAACAGTGTAGAATACGCTTAATTTTTTGTTTTTCACCCAATAACCATTATAATATATACAGTACTCTTTGTTTGGTGCACAAATCCAACATTTTTGTGAAGAGAATAATATTGACACATATAATATAATAATATTAGTACATTAGACGTCACATAATATTCAAAACTTCTACAGAAAAAAGAAAGTATGAAAATAAAATTTCTTTTGGTTTTCTGATGGTAAGAACATTTTCTTCATATTTAATTAGAAAATACTTTTAAAAATTAAGCTTAATTATTTCCATATTTAATCATCATGAGTAGCAGAAAATTTTTCTGCCACTTCTTAAGTTTTTGGATTGTTAGGAACAATTTTATGAATTTTGAAACAATTACAAGAATACTGTTCTAAAATAATAACGTACATTCATCTTCATCCCATTAGCCTTTTCCTAAATTTAAAAGACAAACCTTAATACACAGATGTAATCTTTAAATCTATAGAAATACATTTGTTATTAATTTCTAGCTACTTCAGACTGATCAGTCACTGCTATCTATCTAAACTTCCTTCTGCTTTTTTTATGTGTTATCAAACTTAACTGTATTAAACTAAGTGCATTGACAATAGGGAATATAAAAGATTAAATCTTTAATGTATTTGGCAAGAAAATAATGAAGTGTAAATGCACCAGCAGAAATTACAGAAATGTAAACTGCATTCTTATTGAACCATTAATTTCATCTGTAGTTAAAGGCATTTATTTTGGAAGCTAAAGCCAGTTTCAAAGTATATTTCAATCTGTCTAAACACTAAGTATTTGATTATTTTGAATTGAAAGCATGCTTCCTACAATACTTGGGTTACCATATTTTGCCATTAAGTTATTAATCAACTGGCTAAGTAATCAAAGAGGAATGTGAAAAAAAATTGAGAAAAGGGTCATTTCAAAATCCAAAGGAAAACAGTTACTTAGTTAATTTTTATGTTTTTATTTTCTTAATTTTCTAAAGGACATTTATATATTGTCTAAAAAAAATACAGTACCTTGTTTTCCAAAACAGTGGATACTAAATTTATTGTACAGCCAACAGCTAAGCATGCTATTTCATAGGACTTCTAAGAAGTGAAACAAAAAGATATCAACATTTAAATTAAAATATATATATATATATTGCACTCATATATGAGCTTTTATTCTTCTTGAAAACCAAAACTTAGTTAAGAAAATAAGCAAGATAATAAACAAAATTATATGTACTATTTAAAGGTATAATACTTCAACAAAATGAGTATTTTGTATGGTCTGATCTTTCTTAGCAATTACTTCTAAAAACCCTGTTTTAGTACACAACTAATCAGCATATTAAGTTTTCAATAACCATGTAATTGCTGGGATTTGTTTAAATATGTTCTATACATATACAAATTCTGTGGAAAAATTTCTGCAATGTTTTAGTTTTGCACAATAATTTAGAAACTTTCAGTTAATTGCAAAAACCCACAATGGAAAATTAAATGATTCACTACAAAAAAAAAGAATCATGATAATAAAAAGTGAACTAAAAAATTAATACCTTTTTAGTGTTCTATTGTGATTATGAGAACTGTGTAGTTTCAAGGTTGTTAAATATGCTCTGATTAGAGAACATATGTATATACATATAATATTCTGCAGGTAAAATGACACTAGTTTCAGAATTTACATTATTTCAATCTTCTTTTTTTTAAGGGTCGTGTTAATCTTTCATAATCAAAGGATAAGTGAAACATCTAATAAAGTAATTCATAAAGTTTAAAATGCTAATGAAAAGCCTTTTGTCCTCATAAATCCAGAGTAACAACCACAAAACAAAATAAACTTCAACCAAGTCAGATGATAGAGAAAATATGCCACAGTTAAAAAGTTCTGAACCACAAGAATAGTAATCTCTCCATTAAAAGCTCTCTTCAGAATCAAAGTTTGGTTCTATAACTATTAATAAAAAACATTATAAAACAAATAATAACATGAGAAGTAATTTATGCTAGCTTTCCTCATGCTACATAAATGAAAAAAGACCAAATACACAAAATCTGACAGAAGTCAAAACAAGTAAAATTATGTGGATGACAAAAGTAAAAAAGTGGTACATTTTATCAAGTTATTTACAAATCATCACGTAATGAGCACATCAACATAAGTACAAATATAATGAACAAATTAACTGTAACCAATCATGATTTCCACTCGTATATTTTATGGAACATTCCTTACTTAGTAAATGCTGCATCCTGTTTTAGGTAAGAATGAAACATAATTTGTTCCTTATTTTAATCTAGCTAGAGATGAACCATTGTATTTAAACCTTATTTTCCAACTTGATGAGAATGCTAACAATGATCAAACACCAACAAAATGTGTTCCTTATTTGAGAGCTGTTCAGGCAGTAACACTACATCCAATGACATATAAAACATGTAAGGTTTAGTTTGTTTCTGATATTTGTGCAAAACTGCACAACAGCTAGTTTCACTGGCTATCCCTAATTTAAAATTGATAGACTACAGTGAAGGCACGTAGATGACAGTTCCCACCCCCAACTCTTGGGCTATTCTAATTGAAGAGTGGAATATGACCATTATATTATTCTTATAAGTTATTTTGTTAATGTGGTAATGGGACACAAACCATGGACCCTGAGAAACACAATCCTCTGTGCTAACCACTAGGCTATGCCCAGCATAATAAATAATGACTTGTTATTTAAAATATAAAATTTAGTATTTGTTGGCTTATTAATGGAAAACTTTTGAAACATCGACCTCTATACTTGTGTTTTTTTACATCAGGCAGTTGCCGTTCATTCTAGTTTACTCATCATGAATACCCTGCCTAAACAATCTATTAAAGAATTTTTTATTTTTTGTTGGAGTATATATCAACATAATAAAAAAAATCTAAAGTTGAATCAGCAATGTATCTAAAAATTTCAGAAATGTTCATAAAGTACCATAATAAAACAGTTAAGAATTTTCTACAAAAACTAATAAATATTTCCATCAACCTTTACATTTTATTAACAGTGTAAAAACATAGTCCACAATCAAGATGAAATTAATGTTTTTATTTTAGGTAAAAAATTAAGTCATCCTATTAACAAAAATGATTGGTTTCTCAAATTAATCTCTAATATGTCTATCTATTACAGCATGTATCGTGCCTTTTCATCCACATCCTAAGGACACTAAGATAACTCATTGGAATGTTTAAGTTCTGTCAGTATTTCAGATCCATAGTTTTAGCTGTTTTGAACTGGATACCTCTTTCAACACAAATAATATAAGGCTTTCCAATAATCACATAAATGGTGATAGATTACCATGGAAAAAGCATGTATCTATATAATCTATTATAAAATGTACAAGGCAAATATTATGACAGATCTTTTCATTTGTAAAAAGATAGGTTTTCTAATAAATAAGAAATATGAAACCTAAGCATGTATTTTTCAAAGAATGAAATACCAGGTATCAAAGGAATTTCACTTTCAAACAAATTGTCTAATATGCCACAGATCAACTGTTGTGCCTCTGAATTAATCATATCAAAGAAGAAAAGGAGTAAGCTGATGTTAAGGTATCTATGTTTAATTGAATGATTGCTGTATTATCCAAGAACTTGTCTATCAGGAACAATAAAGCACTTTCAAAACAACAGTTTATTTTTTACTGCCACATATACAGATAAGCAATATGTCCAGTGTTTGGTGTATTTTTAAATGCACACAGGTACACATGTAATGTTTTATAATTATTTATACCACACTTACTGGTCATATCTACGTGAAATTGTTTAGAGATGATTACCTGAAACATTCAAATATAACTGATAACCAACTGTACAAGTATTAATGAAATAATTATTTGGGCATGTATTTCAAAACGTTGTGAATTAATATTCAACACTTATCACTGCTTAAAGTCAAGTATAAAGTTACTGATCTTAGTAGAAATATATTTTAAAGAACATTTACTCAATACCACACTTTTCAAGGCTAAATCAAAGGTTAAAGTAGTAGCCTATATATATGTGTGTGTGTCCTCATGGTCATGCTCAAGAGGACTGTATCCATTGCAGTAAAAGATGTAATACTGATCTTAAAAACAATTCAAGAACACTCTATACATAGCTGTTCATGCAAACCCCGAGCTCACAATATTTAACTTAACTGATATTACTGTGAACTGTAAATACTATATTCCCATGAAGATAATTTGTAGACCTTTGGAAAAGTTGCAAGCATTTAAAGTGTTCATGCAACTTTAACCTCCCATAACACATTTTTCATGCATCAAACACTTCACTATTTATGCTCTTTACTAGGTATATTGTTTGTTCTGATCTATATATTGCTTACTTCTGTGACCTAAAACTCATAATTCATTTTAATGTCACTCACAGTGTGAGTTTTGTCTTGTTAGCTGTCTACAAATCCAAGAAATCACTAAAAATTAAGTAACCATGTCAAAAGCAATAATTCTTAGCAGTGATGTTGTCTAGTATGCAGTCTTGAATATACTTAAAATAAAATAGAAACTGACTGTTGACATTTGACTTCACAAACATAAAGAAAAACTTTTAGTAAGTGATAAGGCAAATAATTCAAGAATTAAGTATAGTGAAATAAGAGTGAATCAACTACACAATAATAGAATTTAAAATCAGGCCACATTGGGAATCTCATGTAGTATAATGACCAGGTGACAGATACTTACAAGACAATACGACAGAAAAAGCAGCATTAAAATATATGTCAGTCATTTAGATTTACAAAAATTAGAAGCAATTACAGTTGTAAAAAAGATATTAATTATGATATAAATATGTCATTTAAACTCATCACTTTATTCTCCAACTTATTTTTATTATTAAATATCCATAGAATATAGCCTACAATTAAGGGAATTAAAATTCTAAAAACAAAATATTTACTTCAACCAATTTAACAATACGTGTCCTTATTACATTTCTCAAGAATGATTAAACAAAAGAAATTTCACTCACTGGATGAAAATATACAGAATCACATTTTGAGGAAAGATTTTCTAAAAACTCTTCATCTTCTTTGTTTTCTGTATATTTTATCATAATCACATGGTCCTTTCTAAAGTAAATAATAAATTATTATCACTCACACATACATATATACTAAAGCTTCACAACACAATGCAGTTCAATGTGAAAATTACTTTGTATTTATCTGAAGTACTATAAAACATAAATAAAGCATTGGCATGATAATACCCTAGTTAAACTTTACTATTCCTTCATATATATATAGTTTATAACTATGACGCATGTAGTTTTTACATAACCTCCTGTAAACACCACTCTGTTAGTAAGTTTGTAAGGCTTGATAGATGAAAGCTGAAAAATCCCAAAAAAGAGATGAAACTACTAACAAATAATACAGAAAAGGAAGTGCAGCAGCTAGCTATACGTTGGCACTGATCAACTACTACCAAACAAAATCTCAGACATTTCTCAGTACGAACTATACCGCAGAAGGTGCAGGCAAACATTAAGGCACTTCAGAGAAACCAGTGTTCCCAGAAAGCAAACAGTGAAATCCAGCAACAAAAGAACAATGACTGAGATTGCATAAAATTCTTTATGCAACATAAGAAAATAATTATTGATAGCATAAAGCATAACACCTAGATTAATAAAGAACTGGTGTAACAAAAGTGAAATTTTGAGAATAATGAAAATTGTACTTGCCTCCTTATTACACTGACTAATTTTAATTGAATACACCACCAATGCAACAAGAATATGTTGTTCATCTATATTAAATTCAAAATCACTTCATCATTTGGGAAACTAACACATGAAAAAGGGATGTGACAATTACAACTAGGGCAAAGAGTACAAATTAATAAGATCACTATGAACAAAATAACAAAACTCATGAATCTATGACAGACAAGAAAATGTGTATGTGCATTTCTATTTATCCAAAGGCCACATTTATACACAGGTCACACATCTACTCCATCTCAAATCAAAAATGATACAAGAATACAACTTAGTTGTGGTTATCACAGACTTTTTAAATCCAAACTTTTGATTAATAGCCAAAAACCACCCCAATTTGGCCATAACGTCAATATACTCCTTTTGAAATAATTAAATGTCAATTAAATTTCACAATGGAAGTAGAAAAATATTTAGCAATACTTGTAATACAGGAAGAAAAGACAATTAATCAAAACTACTCCAAATGGAATTTACCTGAAGAATTCAAGAACTTTTATAACAAAACAGTTATAAGTGCATAGTGGGGAGACAAAGTTATCTTACCCATGGGTATAGAACCAAAATAGGGGCAATATGGTGTTGTAATGTGGTCAGAAAACCAAAACTTCAAAAAAATACCAATAAAAAAAATAGAGAGTTCTGTAATAAATTACTTTTAACTACAATGCAGCCATACATGAAGCAGTAAGTAACAAACACTTCAACTGACATATTAAAGGTCCTTAACCTGTTGGTAAATAAATCAATCGAAGACACAAGAAGTTCAGGAACATCAACAGAGAAGAAACACTACACATCTTGGGGAAGAATGTGAGAAAACAAAACAGATAAAGTCGAACCCAATGCCTGAGTAGTAGTAGTACCAGAAGCAAGGTTTACAGTAACAAGAACATCTGTTGTCGATACATTGAATCATGAAGTCATTCTAAATTGCCAAATAATTTGGTAAAAATAAACAAATGCAGAAAAAAAAAAGAAACAACTGAATGCAAACACAGATAAAGTCAAATCCGATGCCCGAGTAGTAGTACCAGAAGCGTTGTCTACAGTAACAGGAATGTCCATTGTTGTTACATTGAATTGTGAAGTCATTCTAAGTTACCATATAATTCAGTAACAATAAACAAATGCAAAAGAAAAAAATTAAACAATTAAATGCAAACACAGTAAAAGAAAACTGTTAAAATGGGTATTGAAATGTCAAAGAAGTACAATCATAAATAGTAGTCACGTGCAAAAAACACACGTCTAAATGATGCTGTGCCAGTCAAAAAAGTGAGGACTGAGCAGATTCTTGTAGAATCAGAAGGAGCTAGCTGGGCCAATATAGATGATGCAATACTATTGGTGGAGGGTAATCACATGCTATATACATATAAAAGTGGCATGAAATTTGTGGGGTATACAGACTGGTTCACTGAATGTTAAAATTTGTTAGTAATGCTTATGAGACAGAAAGAAGATCAAGATAGATTTGCATGAGAAGAGGTAAGACCATAACGAAAGAATATGTGTATTAAATATGATATTTCCACTAACAAATCAACAAACAAAATAACAACTAAATGCTTAACAAATTACACTTATTTTTTAATGTCAATCAAAAAATGTCTACTCAAATCTTGTTTTAACTGAATGAAATGTAACCTTTGTTTAATTTTTATATCTATCACAATACTAAATAAAAAGATATTTAATCTCACCTATGAAGCAGTGTTATTTCCTCTTCAGAAGCAGAACGAGACTGTGTGAAAAAAACACATATTTCAAAATGAAAACAAATCCCACTAAGTTTACCTATGTGTCACAGAATCAGGATATATGTGTTCAGTAAAATGCATCCAAAGTAAATATCATTTTGAACAAACGTATTCAAAGAAGTTTACAATGAGATTAAAAAACAATATATTTATTAGCAACTGTCCCACTAAATAACTGTTTCCATACCAAGAGACAGAAAATTGTTCCAAGCGATTTGTTTATTTGCTTTACTGCAAAACTACACAAGGGGTATCTGTGTTCAGTCCACCATGAGGAAACAAACCATAGATTTTAGCATTGTGAGTCTATAAACTTATTGCTGACTCACTGGAGGACATTTCCATGTAGTAACATAAACTACGTACATAATTATAGTTCATAAGACTGTGGAAAAATCATCAGTCCTAAGTGTAACAAAGCAAATTAAAAATAGGAATCATTTTACCACATTACAGTAGTGTGATCATTCTGCAAAATGTTCATTTTTTATTTACATAAACATATTGTTGCGTCAGCGAGGTCTCGTGACTTGGGAATTGTCGGGAGATTACTAGATATAGGGTAGTCTGGTATATATAAGAGGGTGACAACGTGACGGAACAATGTGTGTGTAGACAGTGAGTAATTGATCTGCAGTCAGAGAGTATTATTGAAGTTGAGCACATTCGTTGTTATAGCATTTGTTTTAGCGTGATTGTTGAAAATAAGTGTATTGTAAAGTTATATTCGGAAAGAATAAACTGGTTTTATTAAGTAAGGACTTGTGTCGCTAAAGTTTCGTCGGAACGAATTTACGGAAAATCAATTAACGACTGGAGGCGTAACAAATTGGTGTCAGAAAGTGGGATAAAAAAAAAGAATAAAAAGAGAAGATGGAAACGAGAAGCAGCAAATCAAACTACAGTTTAGCAGATTTGATGGCAGCAATACAAGAACAGCAAAAGAAACAAGAAGAGAGACAACAGCAGTTGCAAGAAAACCTGCAACAATGGCAGCTCGAACAACAAAATAAACAAAAAAAGAAACAAGAAGACCTCCAACCACTGCTGTAGTCTCTCTTGTTGTTTATTTTCTTTCTCCTCCAGCCAATGCTGTAGTCTCTCTTGTTTATTTTGCTGTTCGAGCTGCCATTGTTGTAGGTTTTCTTGCAACTGATGTTGTCTCTCTTGTTGTTTATTTTCTTTCTCCTCCAGCCAATGCTGTAGTCTCTCTTGTTTATTTTGCTGTTCGAGCTGCCATTGTTGTAGGTTTTCTTGCAACTGATGTTGTAACAACTGCTGTAACTTCTCTTCTTGTTTATTTTCTTTCTAGAAGAGAAAGAAAACAAACAAGAAGAGAAGTTACAGCAGTTGTTGGAGGAAAAAGAAAAGACTACAACAGTGGCAAAAAGTACAAATGGAAAATATTAGTAAATTTAAAAGCGAATTAGATACGTTAAAAGACGACTTTTTGTCTTTTACACAAGGATGATACATTGACCAACGACTTAATCAGCCCCAGACAATGGCAAGCCCCTTACAGAGCCCGCAGCTAAACCCTAATGCAGACATATTCAGTCCCGTAAGAAGTCACATCTCAGATATGAATGTCAGTAATAGGAGTGATCCAGTGCGAAAGGAAGTCCCACAGGAATTCGATGGGAAGGCACCGTGGGAAGCATATAGAGCACAGTTTGAGTTACTGGCAGAGATGAATGGATGGAGAGAGGAACAAAAAGCTTTATA